AAATGTGGAAATTTTTTTATTTCGAAATGTTTCGTTCGATATTTCAAAATTATAATAAAGTTTCGCTCTAGAGTCGATCGAAATTTCGATTCAATAGATAACGAGTATTCGACAAGAAATTCAATAAATAATTTAACATTCGAATGTTTATAAAACGAGTTGTCGTATCTTTATGAAAAAAAAAAGATTAACTATTGTTATCTCCAAAAATGGTTTAAAATTTTACCCTAACACACTTTTACATCAATAAACAAGAAATATATTCAGGTGGTACCATTTTAATGCTACATCCCGCATATCCTAGAGCCTCATAAAATTCACGTTCCCTCTATCCCACGTTTCTTCTTCCTCTCCTTCGTGTGGTTTCGCATTGTATAATTTGAGCGACTTCCACAGCATGTCCGGATACTCGCGACGATCTTTTCGCGATGCTCATAACGTTAATACTCGTAGAAAATGCGTATTCACCGCATTTTCTCGCTCGCGTGTACCTACTTCCTGCAACACAAAAAATATAGAAGAAAGAGAGGGGAAAAAAAGAAAAGAAAAAAAAAAAAAAGAAAAAAACAAGTAAAATGGGAGCGGTTGAAAGGAAGGCCCTATTCTCGAACGCATTAAAGCGAACTTCATACGCGGAGAGCCGACAGAACGAGTGGTTTCGTTACGTCTCGTGTGCGTTTTCCCTTCCGCAGTTTTCTCTCTGTCTCTTTCCATCACTCTCTCTCTCTCTCTCTCTCTTTCCCTCTCTTATGGTATGAACACGATATGAAAGGAAAAGCCCGTATAACTTTCACTTACGCTCGTTGGCTATTTTCCGCTGAAAAACGAAACTGCGGCCAGACATTGAATCTCACTGGCCATTCAAGGTTATCGCAGCTGATAAAGCGTTTATGCCACTTCGAATACGGAAAAGAGAGATCAGCTTGAACTACCATATATTTCCTATGTCTACTACGTCAAATTGAATGAGATACTTTTCAAATCGTGCATACGTTTTTTCACTTTTATCTCATTCACTTGTTTTCGTACGATCTATTATAAATTTGCCGATGGTTGATTTAGATTCCACTTAAATGAATAAACATGTATTAATACTTTGATCTTATCGATAATACAGTAATCAGATTTTATTCAAGTTTTAAATAAAACTTATGGGTCCTATAAACGAGGCAAAAGATTATAGGATCATTTGAAATTGATTTATCAGTAAACCTTGACCTATTGTAATAAGAGATAATGCCTCAAGGACGTAAAGTCATACGGACTAGAATCGTTTCATTTAATTGGTTTTCTCGCATTCCACTTCGATGATTCGAGCTTTTCAAAAGTAAAATTTACGAGCAGCTTTAGGGTGAACGTTCGGAAGGTATATTCCAGATTTCAAAGGTCTTTAAGATTGCCTTCGACCATTAGTTGATCAGTGAATTACCGATCAACCATTGAATCGTTTTCTCTCTCGATCCTAAAACCCGCTTTCATGCGATTTTCAGATGCACTCCGCTCTGAATGCGAATATTTGAATAGCCAACTTGGCCGTACCAAATCCGCCTGATAAATTTTCGACCGAATCGAAGTTAACGTAGTTTTCGGTGCTTGGAATTCACGGGCACTCGTTAGAAGTGCCCACGGAATCGCTCGAACATTTCGAAAATTATAACTTTTGTCTTCTCTCGCGTTTATACGTTTATTCCGTAGGAAACTGGCTAGTTGTTATACTCAAACTAGTTAATTGAGTAAGATGCAATTTTTCTTTTTTAGTCTCGAAATTTACAAAAGTTTAGTTTTAGTTTTAAAATTAACAAAACAATAAGGTTTCTAAGGGAGAATTAATCAAAGATATGGAAGAATATTTGAATATAACAGAATATACAATGATAACGAGAAACTTTGTGGAAGTAATTCTAATAGAAGAAAAAATAAAAAGAAAAAAAAAGAAAAAAAGAAAGAAAGAAAGAAAGAAAGACAAACCGGCCAATAAATTCACAAACACGTGGACAAATATAATGCAGGCCGTCCGCATTAAATTAAAATCCCTCTTGATAACTCCCTCGATAATAATGATCTTCGAATGATATTTTGTATATCATTGTGACTCACCGATAATCATAATGCTCGTAACTATGCCTTTTACGATCCATTCTCGAGGATTTTATGACACGGGACTCTTCGATAAAACGATTTTACGAACTTCGAATATAACATATACAGTCTTGTCTATCCCTATGATAGCATATGATTTTGTTGAGCGAATTAGGATTCATTTCTACTCACATTTTTTGTTTTGTTTTGTTTTTATCGAATGTTATTATTAATGAAACGATTTAAACAAAAGAATTATATTAAAATCGAAACAATTCGTTATAAATTTTCTATATTTTTCTTTTGATTTATTTATTTTTTGTTTTTTTTTTTCAATCAATAAAATCGTTTATCCGCTTGATTAACACTTTGAGGAAGAAAAAAGAAAACAAAAAGAACGGAGTTCTGCAAGTCATCATCGAAGAATCTCTCTCCATCCAGAAAGCCAATTCTAGTATCTCGGTTAACTCGCGTGAACCGCCAGCATCCTAAGTGAGAGAAACGGTAAAGAGTCGGTGCAGTCGCCTGCAGACGACAAACCAATTAATTTCTCATTTCAATTCGTTCGACTCTCTCGTTGAACGAGATTCAGGTAGAAACGACGACGATTCTCTGCGTCTTCCTGTCCGGACGCGCACAATCATCGACCACTTGCAGCAAGAGAAGACGGAATAGGGAATGGAGAGGATAATAGTAAGAGAGACAGAGAGAAAGAGAGGAAAAAAAAAAAGACTAAATCGAGCGAGTGTCAGTTTATGCAGATGTGGGTGAGCAGTGAGGCAAATGGGGAAAGGGAGTAGAACGACACGTACTGAGGGATGAGTGAAAAACAAAAAAAAAAAAAAAAAAAAAAAAGAAAAAAGAGAGAAGAAGAAGAAAAAAAAAAAAAGAATTTGAACGATGTTGCCTGGAAGAAAAAAAATATTCTACCATGCTCATCTCCATTTCAAGGATCTTTCAACTAGAAATACTAGCCCCTGAGTAATAATGATTATGAATATGTTTCTAGAATTTTTCATTTCTGTTGCAATGAAATGCATCATATTTTAAAAAATTATCTTTCGTGTCGTTTATAAATTTTTTTACTCATTTAATACTGATATTAAAGTGAAATTTCGTGATCACATGTGATCTTCCAAATGAATCATCTTCATCGATAATCATAACGTTTAGCGATTTTTTATCGATACAGTAATAGTATCGTTAAAATCTATTTTCATTATTCCCTGATATCTAATCCGTTTCTAACGATATGAACTTTATGACGTATTCCATAACTAACTTCAACCTTCGAGAAATATCCTGTTACATCTTTTAAAGGTGATAGTCGATAGGAGAGCACGTACGCGACCAGAGTCCTATCCAAAAGGTTTTCCGATCACGTCAAGAGCCCATTCGGGGTTGTAACCGATGCATTTAATGCTCGTACACACCAACCATACTACCAATGATTCTCTTTCTTTCTCTCTCTCCCCCCTCTCCCTTTTTCTTTTTATCTCTTTCTTTCTCTCTTCCCTTTCATTCTTTCTCTTTCTCTTCTCGTCTTTTTTTCTCACTCCATTCTACCTACGTCTACGTCGATTCTCTCTGCCGACGCGACTCACTCAGCAATTTTTTAATCACCCTCGGTGAACAAAGCTAGCAACACTCTATGGGTGCCCCCGAAATGGGTGCCGAGGACTTCTCTTTTCGTCTCGAACATCGTTGTGATGGTTTCTAGCTCAATAGCAGTCTTATTGGAGAATGTCGTGATCGTACTATGACATTGCTAACAACGAGCCTACACCATGGGTGGTGTCCTTTCTCTTCAAAATAGAAAAGGATATTAGACTTCTTCATTTAAAAAAAGAAAAAGAAAGTACTTCCTACGTTACAAACAGATATAATTATATCGTTGATCTTTCATCATATTCCACGTAATAGGTTCATCGATCTTAATGAGATGTTGAAACAATGATCTATAGATATTTTTATATATATACACGCAATAGATATCCTACTCTTTCTCTTTCCCTTTCTCTTTATCTTTGTCCTTCGTTTCATGACGCACACCGACAACATTTTCATTCTCACACGGCTCACTTTGCCAACTTTTCAATTTTCGAAATTAGACGACCGCTCGAAAAGCTTCTACTTGCACGATACTACCTTTTCTCCCACGTTGAGAAGTCATCCCCCTTCTTTCTACTCTATCTTCCCTTTTTCTTTCTCCACGTCCAAACAATGGCAAACTCGAAGGAAGAACAACGCCGTCGTGGCTTTGTCTCTGAGCGCCCGGTACGTATTTTTCTTTTTTTCCTTTTTATTTATTTATTTTCTTTTTTTTCTGTTTTATTTATTTTTTTTTTTTTTTATTTCCTCTTTACTCTTTATTTTTTTTTTTTTACTTTTTATTATTCCTTCTTTTTTTTTCTTTTTATTTTAAAGGAACATCTCGCAGAAAAGTTACTTTACTTTCTCCAATTCTTTCGTATATTCTTGGATACAAAAAAAAAAAAAAAAAAAAAAAATAAATAAAAAAAGAGAAAAAAAAACTCTAATCCGATTTTTATTAAATTTACTCGAATTCGATTAGCGTTTTTAATTATTTCACAAAATAGTCGAAAAACTCAAACGTAATCATTTTATTCGATATTTAATTCGGCATTTATTCAAACGCCAGAGAAATTAATTTCTACCAATGAGAGAGAAGCTCGCCGTTGAATAGACAGTTGACAAAAGACAGAGAATAATACGTTTCACCTCGAATAACAGGCGTCCGTTCGGTAATCGAATCTCCGATCCTCCGCATATTTGCATGGCACACTCTCTCGTTGGGAACGATGTTATTCCATCTCGAGCAATTAAATCGATCGAATACATTAATTAATTCTCGCACGCACACTTCGATCGCCTATATGACGTCGTCCGTTTTGTTTCAGTACAGCGATCGGTCCACGCCTGTTCTCCTGATAGTCTCGCTTGCGGGGATCAAAGTATGCAGTCCAGATGGAAAAGTGAGTACGGATCAGAAATATATAAGTATATCTTATAATATATAGATATATCTACATCGTGATCGTAGATTTAACATATAACATATTTAAAACGATCCTAACCAAAATTTCTTATGACAAGAAAATCTTAACTCGATCGATTGCACACATGTTTATGACAATTCGTTTACGATCGTAGCATAACTTTTTATTGCTATAATAAAAGAAGAAAAAGAGAGACAAAGAGAAAGAGAGAGAGAGCGAGAGAGGGAGAGGGAGAGAGAGAGAGAGAAAGACAAAGACAGAGATAGACTGACACGTTCAGGAGACGAGATAGCAGAAAAAGAAGCCAATAGCTGTCGTGCGAGCTTTCGTGTGTCGCATCTCTTGGATTTCAGAGTTTAAAGAGCGAGTGAATGTGTGTGTATGTGTGTGTGTGAGAGAGAGAGAAAGAGAGAGAGAGAAAATCGACGTTGTCTATCTTTGAACGCGTTCGCGAAATACAACAAACACAAAGAAACTCGGCCAACCTGTTCCATACGGGACAACATCGTGTGACGATATACAGTGTCATATAAAATACATCCAACATGCGAACCTTCTCGTGCTTACATATATGTGTCCTGTTTTTGTACGTTTCACATAGTAAGCCGAATGGACTATAGATATATGTTGAAAAGAGAAAGAGAGAGTGAGTGAGCGAGGACCACACGACGCTTTTTACGCCAGCTTTTAGTTTTTAGAATGTTCCGTCACGAGCGTTTTACTCCCTTGAGATATATTTGTCACTAGGATATTACGCGTACGAATATGCGGCTTGTCATTATCTTTCTCTTTCACACACATAAGTTCGTTCTTTTTGTTTCTCTCTCTCTCTCTCTCTCTCTCTCTCTCTTTCTCTTTCTCTCTCTCTCTCGTAAGCAAGGTCATTCGCAAATTCTTTCGCATTAGCGTGAACTTTTTAAAGTATTTTCTCTGTCCATAATTATTGGCCAACTTCAAACGTTGCCTGAAAGATCTGTCATTTCTTCTTCTTCTTCTTCTTCTTCTTCTTCTGCTTCATCTTCATCTTCATCTTCATCATTGTTCATATTTATTCCTCGTTTCAAAATGTCCTCGTGAAAATTATTTCAAAACTATTTATGATACGTCGTATGTATCGATCATCAAAAAACAGAGTTAACGTCGCCATTGTATGACATGCAGGATGCTTACCTTATTAATTTTAGTGATGATATTAATTAAACTAATTGCTACGGTACGCTAGGGAGGGAAGATAGGCCGTGCTCGATAACACATAACACAGAAACTCGATGATCCCTTCTTCTCTTTCGTTCTCGTTTCAACGAATCTCTTTCGTCGAACAGGACCATGCGATTGTGCCGCGTATAACATCAAAGATAAATTCTCGTCGAATATCGTATCTCCCTACGGACTGCAATTAATCGTGTGCACTCTCTCGTTCGTAATTATTATTCGTGTAATCAAATGTTTCGGCCGATTTAACAGCCATTCGATTGTAAGAGAGAGAGAGAGAGAGAGAGAGAGAGAGAGAGACAACCAAAAATACTAAAAATTGGCTGTATGAATCATGCGAAATATGGAAAAGAAAAGAGGGAAAAAAAAGGAAAAAGAAAAAGAAAGAGGAAAATGGAAAAATATCAAAGATTTTTCTATTCCTTTCGAGAATTAATATTCGCTAATGGGATCTGAACATTTCTATGATGCAATGATTAATCTTCAAAGAATTAATTTATTTAATTTACCGAAGTGAAATTTCAAAACGTAAAAATAAATTCTCTATTCATTATAACAATTAAATATTTTATTTCGATTGAAAGAATAAATATACAATGGAAAAATAAAAATATATTTATAATTTATTGTAATAAAGAAGTTTAAAAGATATGTAAATCACGATACGTTAAAATAAATATCGAAGATCGTAAATAAAAATCTTATAAAATCGAAACGTCGATAAGATAGATTGGATCGTCGCGTTGACGGCTTCGATGCCAAGACTTGTTCGGCAAGGGTTGCGAACCCTACGTCTCTTGAGACTTTCGGTTTTCTCAGTGATTGGCACCACGAGCGAATCCACGAGGCGGAGACTAATGCGGCATGGATCTCTCCTATATCGCTGTCATCTTGATTGATAATCTCCTTCTCTGTTTCTCTCTCTCTCTCTCTCTCTCTCTCTCTCTCTTTCTCTCTTTCTCTTTCCATCTCTATCTCTCTTCGATGAACTTTCTCTTCGCGCAACCTTCGAGAACCTTCTGCTATTATTCCGAAGCGAGTAAACATTGCTTCCGGACATGAGGTGGTATCAAAGTTTAAGAAGTCTTTTCATGTCGAACGTCGACTAAAAACGAGAAGGAAAGAAATTCCCGGAGGCAACTTTAGTTAAGGAGGGTTTTCAAGCTTAGCGATAACTTAAAACTATTTCGTTGTTGCACCTATCTAAGATCTGAATTATTCAATTATCTTTTGCCAAATCGATTTAAAGAAGATAAGAAAAACATTCGTAAATATTAAATAACTCTATATATCCAAATAAATACTGAGATTAATAATAAGAGATTAATGGAGTACTATATGATGGTCATCGAGTATGAATGCAAAAGGGAAGAGAGAAAAGATAGAAAAAAAAAGAAGAAAAGAAAATAAACAAGAATAAATAAATGTCATAATTTTTCAAATACAAAAATATGTCCATGGGAATGGAGTTTACGAGCTTTCGAAAAATGTCAAAATGGTCTCGAAGCTACTTTACCCTTTAATGAGAAAAAAATCGTTGCACATTCGACGTTGATAAATTGTACATGCACGATACATCGGATCGTTACGGAATGACGTATGACACATGACGTCGTATATATCAGTGACGTCAATTCGATAAAAGAGAGATAGAAGGAATGGAGAGAACAAGGGCCGGGAGTCGTTCGTAATTCGATGAGGACGGAAAGCATCGAATCTCGCGTTGCACGTTGCATGAAAGACGTGGACCATAGATTTCTCTCTTCGATTCCCCTCTTTGCTTCTCTTTCCTTTTCTTTTCTTTCCTCCCTTCATCCCTTTCTCTCTCTCTCTCTCTCTCTCTCTCTCTCTCTCTCTCTCTCTCTGTCTTTCTCGCTCTTTATCTTTCTTCCCTCTCACTTCATGGAAATGGTGTTGTTCCATTTCCATTCTTTTTTTCGTCCCTTTTGCCACACGGTTTCGCCGCTTTAAACTCAGTACTCAACGATGGAACAAAAGCATCGAGCTCCTGAGTTTTATGCACGAGTAAAAGCACAACCGCTTGCCTTTCTTCAAGGCTTCGCGAACGTTCGAAAGTAACGGACACTTGAACGTATAAAACGATTTTTTTTTTTTCGATTTCTTCGAACTTTAAGCCGACTCCATGATCGAACTGTCTGCCACAAGAATTTCGTTTAACGTGAACACGAATGTTTCTCTTCGTAGGTTTTAATTGAATTTTTGATATAGGAAGACGATATGGTGGGTAATTTATATCGTTTGTTCTTGAATATGAACTAATAAATGATGATAGGTAATCAGAATAAAATCGATATCTTCTATGTGCCATTTGATATTATATTATAGAGAGTATAATTCTGTTGAAATTATTGATTCATCGAATATTTTGAATTTTTTTTTTTTTTTTTTTTTTTTTTTATGAAAGTACAAATAACAAATAACATAAGCAATAATAATTAGTTGACAAAATTAATAGAAATTAATTGCTAATGACTTATTTATTGTTCTTACTACTTTATATAATGTATTAGATACTATTAAATTAATTCCTTTGTGGGGGCGGGGGGGCGGGGGGTGGGGGTATACACAAAAGTTCTATAAGAATGAACTTCAGTACGTCCTTTGTAGACTATGCGATTGTATTTGAGGATCAAATTGAAAATAAGAAAAAAGGTAGCAGCGAAATGTCGTCTTTCCTTGACAGTTTCTACTTTCCGTTCCCTTTTTTTCCTCGAATGAAGGTACGAAAGAGCAGGACGTTTACACAGAGGCAATCTTTTAAAAACTTTTAAATTCGAGCGAGAGTAAATTTCAGAGTGGTAAACGTGCAGAAATGAAAGGGCGCTCGTGCTATGCTTTTAAATAGATAGACGACGACTTTGTAAAAAATTCATGAGCTCCGTAGTCGTGATATTTAAAATCTTTTTCTAATTCGTTTTTAGGACTATTTTTTTCATGAGGTAAGCTTAGTCTGTCTGTTTATATATATAACAAAAAAAAAAAAAAAAAAAATAAGAGAAAATAATAAGAATTGTTCTACGCTATCTCGTCGAAGAAAGAAGATGTTGAATATTATTATTTAATCGAGTTTCGACTAACGCGAGATTAATAATAGTTGCCAGTCTTTAAAAAAAAAAAAAAAAGAAAAAAAGAAAGAAAAAAAAATGATTAGTCCTTTTTCTATTGGAATTTCACAAAATATATTTTTCTGAATTTAGATACTGAATTTGACGAACTTATTACAGGCTTAAATATTCGAAGGAAAATACGTGAGAATAGCTTTTTTTTTTTTTTTATTATTATAAACGAATCTTTTTACGTTACGTTAATATTTTCCCGCGAGAGTGGGAACATCGGGACGTTGACGGACAATCTTTTAAAAAGTTTGAAATTCAGGTGAGTGGTTGGTTAGTTATGGTAGATGCTTCCCGTTTGAGGACAGAAGCAAAGAGAAAAAAGAGAGAGAGAGAGAGAGAGAGAGAGAGAGAAAGAGAGAGTGAAAAAGACAAGGACAGACATTGCTCAAAAGTTGCGGCCATTACATGGACAGCGGTTACGCCGTAGCTGGAAATATAGAAATTCGCTACTTCCTTCGTACCTTCTCCCCCCCCCCCCCCCCCCAAGTAAAACCTCCATCACCCTCAAAACTTTCTTCTTTCCAAGAGATGGAAGCTTTTGAAGGAAATCCGGACGAAGCTTCTGCCTCGGCACATGTACCAACTTTCTTCTTCTTCTTCTTCTTCTTCTTTTCCTTCTTCTTCTTG